TTTTACAAAACGATCGGGAATACTATAAATAAAAACAACCCTTAGCTGAAAAGAACAGCCAACAGCTGAAAATTGGGAGGACAAGTACTAAGGCCGCCTAGAACCCGACTAGCAACGCTATAAAACAAACTAAGAAACAACACAAAACAAAACCTATTGTGGCCGTGCTAACCGGATAATATAGATCAGTGGCTGGTCAAACTGGACCGAACATCCGCAATGAAGGAAAGAAGGTAGACGACGAGGTAGAGCGGACTCGATAGTATTAGATATGCATCGTCTGCTCGAGGAGATGGTCGAGGAAAGACGATCAAATGGGCATGGTCGTAAACTCGACCACCTCATACCTGGGGAGTAGCTCAATGTTCGTCGAAGATTCGGTCGAACATCAGAATAAATAAGAGAGCCTCCAGCACGTGAGAGGGAGACACGCGGCGCTTTATGAGTGGTCCACGGCTATAACGAACTCTGACATTCTCTGACAGATTCGACGCGTTCTCTGACATCAGGGATAGTGGGGGCGCGCAGTTGTACGGACGAGCAGGAGGACAGCTGGCCAAACTCACCCAAGTCACGCGTGTAGAACAGGTAGCTTGTCCCTATAAATAGGGACGAGAATCCTCATTTTTAGACACAATCTCTCATACTCTTACATAATTTTTACACATATATTTCGTCTCTCAAGATCTGACTTGAGCGTTGAAGGCTCTTCATAGGAAAACACTTCCGGTGTGAGAGTTTCGTGCAGGTTCCGCGTTCAACCGGCGAGGAGAACAAGCTCGAAGCGGTTTCCAGCCGGTCGGGGGGAAAGACTTGTATTATTGGCGCCATCTGTGGGACTCTTTGTTCGAAAAGTTGTGTTCTGAGCTCAGCTATGGCAGACGGAGTTCCTCGAGTGGATTTGCAGTCGTCGTTTGATGAGGCGTGGACGACGACTAGACCGATGGGAGCAGGTCCTCCACCTGGCTTTTCCGCACCACTACAGACACCGGTGACCCCAACACCGATGCCCAGAGTGTGGCGATTCCAGGCGGAGGTGAAGGCACGAGCAGAGAGCACGAAGCTCGTGAAACAGCACCTACGGTGGATCTTGCGCCGTTACAAGCATGCTCGGTTGTGGCGCAGCAGGTTGGACCAGTGGCGCAGATGATGGCGCCGCCAACAGGAGGAATACCACAATCCCCTGCTCAACAAATGGTGACCATGACAAGGGAAGAGATGCAGCGGATAATGGCCAACGCAGCGGCGTAAGCTGTGCAGCAGGTCACTCACCAGACATCCCAGGCTACTATCACGCCGACCACAGTGGCGGGAACTCAAGAGGAGGATGTGTCAAGCTATGGTGGAGGAGGAGAGCCCAGAGATAGGGCGATTGAGAGGATGGCTGAGCAGCTCCGACAACTATAAGAGAAAGTGGAGAAAACACCGGATAGACGTGCTTGAGGACACCCGTTCTCGAGGGAAATCCTGGCCGCACCGCTGCCCGCAAGTTTCAGGGAGATAAATCTGACCTTCGATGGATCGAGCGATCCGGCGAGGCATGTGAGGGCGTTTGAAAATATGTCCGTCTTGCACGGGTACTCAGATCCGGTCAGTTGCAGGGCTTTCCTGTCGACCTTACAAGGAGGTGCGCTCGACTGGTTCCACCAATTAGCTCCCGGTTCGATAAGAGACTTTGAGGATTTTGCAAGACAATTTACCAATCAATATTCAAGTGCGGTCGCGTAGGAGAAGACGTATCTCACTCTGATAGCGATGCGACAGGGCGAGAAAGAGTTTCTACGAAAGTACGTTGCTCGGTACAAACAGATGTGCTTGGAGGTGCCTACGGCGGTCGATAAGGTGAAGGCAGGAGGATTGATTAGAAGTCTGCGACCAGGACCATGTCGAACGTCGTTAGCAAAGACGCCTGCTCGACGATGAGGTGCTAAAGAGATGCAGGAAGTACATCAATTTGGAATAGACAGAGGCGGAGTTTGCCAAGCTCGAGGAGGCGGTGAAACCTGAGCAAAGGAAGTGGAGGCCAAGATCGCCCAGGAGAGTATCGCCTAGGAGGAATTCTCCAAAGAGCGGCTCATCTAAGAGGCTGTCGCCCAGGAGAGATCGGCAAAATTCATTCCGTGGAGGGCGAGAAGATCGCTGGCAAGGGCGACCCCGGCTACCAAAGGGTCAAAGATATAACAATTTCACTCCTATCAACGCCCAGGTGGGCGAAGTCTTGGCGGCCATCGAGGAGAAATTGGAAAGCAAGGAGGTCACGTGGCCGGCGACGAGATTCGAGGGACCGACCAAACCCAGGTCGAATAGATACTGCAGATTTCATAGGGATTATGGACATACCACGGAGGATTGTAGGCACTTGAAAGACGAGATCGAGCATCTCATAAGGGCAGGACACCTAAAAGAGTTCGTCATCCGTGATAGACCACGAGGTAAGGATAAAAGGAGGTGCATGGAAGATTTGGTGACGAGGAGTGACAGGGACGATGACAGAGAGGACGATGCCAGGAGGGAGAAGAGGAGACGGGGTGATGATGCTCGAGAGGAACCGAGGGTGGAGATGCCCGCGAAGAGGGGCACAATCCATATGATTTCTGGAGGGCCCACGGATGGAGACTCGAACAATGCACGAAAAGGGCAGCGAGCCGTGAAACGCAAGAGGGAGGAGGTTGGGATAACTGGTCGAATGCCGGTGATCAGCTTTCGAGCAGAAGATGCGGAGGGGGTTTTGCTGCCCCATAATGATGCGTTGGTCATCACGACGGAAGTAGCGGGGTTCGACGTGAATAGGGTGTTCATCGACACTGGGAGCTCGATCGATGTGATGTTCTATGACTGCTCCACACAGATCAACAAGCATTTGAATTTGAAGTTGAAGCCGGTAGCGACAGCCTTGTATGGTTATAATGGAGGCGAGGTGATGCCAATGGGCGAGGTGAGTCTAACTGTGGCATTAGGGTCGGGCGATACTAGGAAGGTGAGGATGGTGCAGTTTGTAGTGGTTGGTGCAGAGTCGTCCTACAACATCATCCTGGGCGGACAGGTTTGAACGCGTTCCAAGCAGTTGTGTCTACATACCACATGACGATCAAATATCCTATAGGCGAAAATGTGGACGAGATCGTTGAGGACCAGCTCACATCGAGGATTTGTTACCAAACCACAGCCAGCAATAACAAGAAGATGGCAAAAAAACAATTGAAAGGTGGGGAAGAGAGGCCTGATCGACCAGGAGGGTCGAGGTCGAAGGAAGAGAAGGGATGGCAAGACAAGGGAAAAGAGAAGATAGACATACAACCTGGTGGTGAGGTCGAAGAAATTCAGATGGTGCAAGGGAGGGATGATCTAAAGTTTAGGATTGGGAAAGACCTGGGAGAGCCGATCAGGTCGAGGTTGGTCAGCTTGATAAGGGAGTTCGCGGACATCTTCGTGTATACGGCGGAGGAATTAACGGGGATTGATGCCAGGGTGATCGAGCATAGACTGAACATTGATCTTAGTGTGAGGCCAGTAAAGCAGAAAAAGAGACATCATGGCGTGGAAATGGACAAAATAATCGAGTAGGAGGTCGAAAAGTTGTTAAATGTCGGACATATCAAGAGGATCCAGTTCCCAGAATGGTTGTCTAACACAGTGATGGTGTCCAAATCAGGGGGAAAGTGGAGGATGTGCATCAACTTTCGCGACTTGAATAAGGCGTGCCCGAAGGATCTATACCCATTGTACCAACTGGTAGATTCCACGGCGGGATGCGAACTGTTCAGCCTAATGGATGCCTCTCAAGGTTACCATCAAATTCCCTTGGCGAAGGAAGATTGGAAAACGGTGAGCTTCATAACGAGCAAAGGCACCTATTTGTTAGAGTAGGATACCCGACGTTCCAATCGGATTGGACGTATTCTACTTGTAAATACTATCTATTGGAATTATATTGTAAATAAGACATTACTTTATCTTAAGAGTAAGTTTTTATCCTATAATCGCACTTAAGATAAAATCCCTAAATCACTTATGGTTATAAGGTATGGTTGCGCATAGAGATGGTGATCATGGAACATACTTTGAAAGCTGTGATTTTAAATAAAGTTCCAAGTCGAAGGATGTTTCGAAATGGGATATTGAATAATCCATAAAAGACATGCACATAGTATGTATGCTTGTTGGACAAGAATGTTGTATTCCATCAACATTAGCGTGCGACGCAAATACATATATGTGGGTGCTTGTTAGAGAACAAGTACACTGAACATGACCGTATGAAAATACTTAATGAAAGATTTGTCTTGTCGAATAAGTATTTTCATGTTACAATAGTACATGACTAATTCTAAGACTTGAGGCACAATGGTAACTTTGTGCATATTACATTCTACTTTGATTTATCCTTTTGGTTGCTAGCACAATCGTATAAAGGGATATTTTGGGTATTATGTTAATATGTATGGAAGTTTGTTAGTGGCCTACAAAGGATTCGACACTTATGAAGATAAGTGAATTTTCTATGTGTTTCATAGTTAGTAATTCAAAGTCCTTGGCCAAGGCGGGATGAATAGAGATTCATACACGGATTACTAAATATGAAATAGAATCATAGTTATTAAATCAATTTGGGTTTCGACTAAATCATACCCAAGATTTAATCGGGAAATTGGATGTCGAAAGGATTCTACATGTATGTACTTGTAATCGAAATAGGTTTACTCGCTATTCACTTAATACTAGATTCATGCTACTTGCTAGGTGTTCCCATGATATGTGGGTTCTTGAATTAAAGGGGTTAATTCAAGAATAAGAGTTAATAAGGTTAATTCAAATTACGAAGAGTTGTAAACCCACTACTAGTATTAATTGTGAACCTAAAAGGTCACACCAATGTTTGTATAAAGACAAATATTAGTATTTCTAAAGAGTTAGAATTAATTGACAAAATCTAATTTTGATTAGATGTCAATTAAAGAAATATATTAAATTAATCAATTGGATTGATTAATATTAATTTAGTGACTAATGTAATTACTAAATTAATAGTTGGATTTTAAAATTGGATATTAAAATTCAAATCCATATAATAATATGATTATTATATGAAAGGAGAATATTAAATATTATATATATGTTTACAAATGATTTTAAAAGAGTTTAAAATTATTTGTTTAGTATTATTATTGATTTTTAATGCTGATTAAAAATTAAATAATAATGATAATAATATAATAATGACAAGATGGAGTCTTGCAATTATTATATTGTTGTATTAACTTGTAGAAATGAGAAAAAGATTTTTTAATTTTGCTTGTCAAAATTATTAAAGACTTTTGTAACATTTCTTGTAAAAGTTATACAAGTCATATATATTTTATTGCTAAAAAGTTTAGTATAAATATGGGCATGGTTGATGTTCATTTTTGCAAGAATTTGTGTTAACATTTTCACTTATAATTTGAGAGATAAAGAGCTAGTATTTCATTTTTGTAAACAAGAATTGTTCTTGTAATATTCTCCTATTTATATATTTCTATACTAAGTTATAAATCGAGTGAGTTCCTACTAGCGAAGGAGTCATCTCGTAGTCGGAAGCACACGGTGGATACGTTTAGAGGGAAGACAAGTGGATTCCTAAAAGCGAGCAAACCGAAGTGTTCGTTATTAATACGGGAACCAATTTCCTCAACCACCATCAAGAAGGAGTTAGAGTTATAAGGTAATATTTGATATTACTTGTAATTTCTAATATTACTTGTAACAAATCAAAATTTGTATTATTACATGTTTTTAAAGATGACGATTTGTTAATTCGCCATATGTATCTACGGGTTAAGTATTTAAGTGTTAAATACTTGTTTTGAAAAATTTTAAATTCCGCTGCGTATAGCCCGTACGGTACAGGCGAACCCAACACAATTGTTACGTGGTTATGCCATTTTGGTTGAAGAACGCCGGGGAAACTTACCAAAGGCTGGTCGACCAGATTTTCAAAGACCAATTGGGAAGGAATATGGAGGTATATGTCAATGATATGTTGGTAAAGAGCAAGGTGGAGGAGGATCATGTGGGCGACCTGAGGGAGACTTTCCAAACGCTGAGGAGGTATGGCATGAACCTTAATCCAGCCAAGTGCTCATTTGGTGTGAAAGCAGGGAAATTCTTAGGCTATATGGTGACGAAGCGGGGAATAGAGGTGAACCCTGAGAAGGTGAGGGCGGTGATCGAGATGAAACCACCTGTCAACGTGAAGGAGGTTCAAATACTGACTGGTCGAATAGCGGGGTTAAGCAGATTCATCTCTGAAGTGGCCGAGAAGAGTGGTCCTCTGTTTAAAACATTGAAGAAAAGCTCGAAATTTCAGTGGACGGGGGAGGCCCAGAAAGCTTTTGAGGAATTACGAGAGGTGTTGGCAAACTTGCCCTTGCTAGCTAAGCCTGTATATGGGGAAGAGCTCGTGCTCTACATATCAGTGGGCGAGAATGCAGTAAGCTCGATGTTGTTGCACGAGGAGGGAGTACCACAGTTCCTGATATACTATGTCAGTCGAGTAATGCAGGGAGCTGAGCTAAGATATTTGGAGATTGAGAAATGTGTATTGGCGGTGGTCGTGGCGGTGCGAAAGTTGAGGCCATATTTCCTAAATCATAGAGTCAAGGTGCGGAGGAACATGCCTCTGGAGCAAACTTTGGGTCGGCCAGCGGTATCTGGTCGACTAGTGAAGTGGGCGGTCGAGCTGAGTGAATACTCTATCGTAAATGAGCCAAGGAGGGCGATCAAAGCACAAGTTCTGGCTGATTTCATTCAGGAGGGTACTAAGGAAGAGGAGCAAATGGAGGGAGTGTGGCAATTGTTTGCGGATGGCTCAGTATCGAGAAGTGGAGCAGGCTTGGGCATAGTCCTGGTTTCGCCCAAGGAGGATTACTTGGAGTTTGCTGTTAAAATGAGGTTTCGAATATCAAACAATAAGGCAGAGTACGAAGCGGTGATAAAAGGGTTGCAGCTAGCTCTGGCCGGAGGTGCTCGAAAAATTCAGGTTCACTCTGATTCCCAGTTGGTGGTCGGACAGTTCCAAGAGGGGTTTGAGGTCAAGGAGGACAGGCTGCAATGTTATGTGAACAATATGAAGAGGCTGAAAGAAGAATTCGGGTTGTTCGAATTAATACAAATACCAAGAGGGGAGAATGGTCGAGCTGATCTATTGTCTAAGATCGCTCAAAATTTGGTAGATTGTAAGAGCAGGAGTGTAACTCTGCTCCATATGGAAAAGAGTGTGGTCGAAGCGGAAGTGGCAGAGATAGAGAAAGTGGAAGACTGGAGAGCCTCGATCTTGAAGGAGCTGCAAGAGGGGACAGTAAAAGTAATGAGGAGGTTTTTCGAGCAAGGGGGATCCTCTACAAGCGGTCATATGCAGGGCCACATTTGCGGTGTGTGACCAAAGAGGAAGGCCGATATGTTCTTAAAGAGGTGCACGAGGGATGCTGCAGCGATCACAGCAAGGCAGAAGCCATGGTGGCAAAAATCTTAAGAGCAGGGTATTTCTGGCCGACAATGAAATCGGATGCTAAGGAGATGACCAAGAGATGCTTGCAGTGCCAGAAGCACGGCCCGCTCATCCACCAACCCGCTAAGACAATGACCACCATGAGCGCACCAATCCCATTCACGCAATGGGGAATCGACCTAGTAGGGCCAATGTCGCAGGCAACGGGGCAACGGAAGTTCTTGATCGTTGCGGTCGATTATTTCACGAAGTGGGTGGAGGCCGAGCCCTTAGACAACATCACCGAGGAGAAAGTAATCCAATTTCTATACAACAACATTTGTTGTGGATTCGGGGTCCCCAAAGTCTTGATATCCGATAATGGAATCCAATTCAACGGCAAGCAGGTTAGGGCGTGGTGCGAGGAGATGGGAATCGAGCAGCACTTTGCTTCCGTCGCACATCCGCAATCCAATGGACAAGTGGAAGTGACCAACATGATTATATTGAACAGGCTGAAGACAAGACTGGAGAGAGAGCCTCGGGGGCGTGGGTCGATGAGCTAACATCTGTATTCTAGGCGTACAGGACCACCCTGAGGTCGACCACAGGGGAGACACCTTTCATCCTGGTCTATGGGATGGAGGCGCTTTTGCCGGTCGAGTTGGATTTGCAATCCCAACGATCGAGCACTTTTGACCGGGAGCAGAATGAAGAGCTCATGCTAACTGCCTTGGATACGAACGAGGAACTCAGAGAACGAGCCTCGACCAGAGTAGAGGTGTACAAACAACAGATGAGAGCAGCCCATGACAAGAAAGTGAAAATTCACAAATTTCAGGTGGGCGATCTAGTCTGGAAGAGGGTGGACGTTCTCAGACATGTAGGAAAGCGGGAGCCTAATTGGGAAGGACCATACTTGGTCGAAAAGGTCCATGCAGGAGGAGCATATTCCTTGAAGGACGCTGAGGACAGATCACTAGACAGGTCGTGGAACGTAGCTAATCTTAAAAAATATTATGTGTGAACTTTTCTGTTTCCTTTTCATACTCGCGCAATTGGATTAATGTAGTTTCGAAGAAAATTTTCTTCAAGGATTGTCAAAATGATCGACTTCTATGTTACTGGGTTCTGTTCATATCTAGCATCCACTTCTTACAACGTGTCATTTACAAGTTTGGTTTGGTCCATTTAACGACATAGTCGCAATTTACCTGGAAATATTAAAGCAAGATTTGCCAATTTTTCTATATGGTCACATGGATTTTAATTTCAATACTTATAATACAAGCCGGTCACTTATACAATTTCTTTGTAATTTCTTGTTGGATACATGTGGAACCACGAACGCAATCCCTGCTCGATATCACTCAACGCAAGAAGAAAGTCCTT